AATAAATAATAAATAGATAAATAAATAATAAATAGATAAATTAAAAAAAAAATCCTTGAATAAAAATTGCCAAAGTACGATGACCTAAATAAAAATCTTGATTCAAGTATGACAACCTCCGATTTTAAATGAGAATCTTGATTCAGAACTTTAAGCGTATTCTACTTCACTTATTTCACTTCCTGATATCTCTAAATTTTCAATATTAGATTTATTGTTAATTAAAGATCTTACCTCTTCCAATATAACTAGTAATTCACTACGTTTTTTCGATTTAATTCTACGATATTTTTTTTGAACACTTTCATCTGATTGTTCAAGAAATGCTTCTATTTTGCAAACAATTTCTACTTTTGTCATAGATACTTCATTTGTTTGTGCAATGGCTTTTTGTTTAGTAATCGGAATTGGTCTAAATAAAGAAGCTAAGCCATTATTAATAAAAACATTAGTAATATATTCACATCAAGCTTGCTTAGCTAAATTAGTGAAATTCATCAATTGTAAACTTAATTCATATTCCTCTTCCAAGCTACTATAAGTAGTTTTCAAGTCCATTGTTGGATTAACAAAATTATCATTACATAGGCGAGCTCGAAACCTCTGGCACTCTGTAGTCGCTTCTGGCCGATTTCTTGGACCAGTCATTTGAGAATCATTAAATCCGATTAAGTTGAAGAAATTATTTCGCAACTAAAATTCGATATGTAAATAAATTTATAAAAAGAATTAGATTATAGATGATCAGATACATACTTGAAAAAACTTTTTACAATTTTGAGCAGCAATTTTCCAATGCCACATTTGTGGGACGGGAGGTATTAAAGTCTTTAGAGCCCTATTTATTTCTTCTAAAATTGTATCTTGTCCTTGATGCTGGTTAATAAATCTTGACCGAGATACAACAGTTTTTTTCTATAATATCTCTTACCAATGGGTCAAGCCGCATAAATTGTATTTCATCAGAAACTTCTATCTGACGGTATATCGGGTGCCTTCGTGCAGACCATATTGGAGAGAAAATTCTTTTTGCAGCTCTTTTCAATAACGGATTATTTTTCCTAATTGCTGCTCTATAGTTAACAATCGCTTGAAGGTAAATAAATATCTAAAAAAAAAAAAAACTTAATTATAAATAGACATCTAATTTCGAAATTAGAATTTAATTTCTTTAATTTACCTGCTTGAATTTTACTTGATAAAGCAGATCTTTTTGTTTCTTTACCCAGAACAAGTAACCTTCAACCGACGGAATGAGATAATTTTTAACGTACGGCCACATTAACTCCATAGCCATAGCTTGGCGATAGATGTTGCAAACCGAATCCCATGACTTGTGGTGATCATAGCATTTCTTAAAATAATTAAGCTGATTGTTGGTCTTATATCCCTGGGATATTGCAAATTGCTTAAAATCGATACTTCTATTTTGAGTAATTAAATTAATATAAAAAAAAATATAAAAAAAAAGATATTTGACAGTACAAATTAATTCAACAAATGCTCGAAGCATGTTCATTTCCTCATGCAACAGCCCAAGAACAAAAACTAACCATAGATATTTATCCTTTATGTTAGCCATTCGATGATATGGAATGCCATCACAAGTTACAACTGTCCATTTACGTGTTCCATTTTTAATTCCTGCTATATTCTCAATGTGAAGAAGTATTTTTTCAACATTAGTAGTTGAATTTGGATTAATATCAAGAGGGTCAGGGACAAATATTTCCGGAACATTAACTCCTTGATCGGTATGTACTTTTTGAGTTATGCTAATTCTTGGTATATTGGATCATTGAGTCTGCACTTCAACACTATATAGCTTAAATACAATCGACCTTTCTACAATTTTTTCAACTTTATCATCATCTTTTAATATTTCTGCTAACGTAGGTAGACGAGATTTACACTTAGGGCACACTTGCTTCTGATTATCAATATTCTTCTTATTATAGCTAGAACAATGCTTACTACAACGACTACTTGAACCTATATTAGAAGCAAATAAATCAATTGTATTAGTTGCAGATAATTTTTCTTTACATAATAAATCAAGTAATTCAGAAATAAAAATATGTAATTCTTGGTCAATAACTTCTTGCATTTCAAGTGTAGTATCAAAAAGACTTTCGTATTGCGACCTACTTAGGGAATTAGAAGTCCAAGGATACGATTATGAGAGTCCATATTAAAAGCAACAAAACTGGTAACGATATGAAATATAACCGTATTAAGCCCTCGGTCCAAATAATTTTTTTGCCCCTTTTGCTCATTGTCGAATGCCAAAAATAAAAAGCCTTTTGGTAAAGTTTCCTCTTCTTCATATAATTCGTCTAACCAATTCTGGAAACTTGAATAACTCCCTGAGCTTGTAATGTGGTTATCGACATTGATGATGGTTTTTGACCTGGCGATGGAATATTTGATGGCTGATGCCAAAAGACCTACTTCTGACACATATTTTCTATGCCTAGATCTATATACCAAATCAATAGCCATAACTTGCTTAAAAAGCTTTTCAGCGCTTTCAGAATCTGTATAAAAATTATTATAAGTTAGTATTTCAATAAAATTTACAACAACTGGATTACATTGACTTAGCCATAATTGTGGAGTATAGTTTAATAGATTTTCTAAAGAAAATCTATTATTATTTCTAATTAAAGCCTCAACATCATTATATAATGATTCTCATTCAATTAGTGCAATATCAATGACGGCCTGGATACGCTTATGCTAGTTGTTATAACGAAAATTCCACTGTTCAGTTGGTCGTTGGTTTGCTTCATACTGTTCTTGATATGCTTCATATTGTCTTTGATATGCTTCATACTGTCTTTGATATGCTTCATACCGTTCTTGACATATTTCTTCTAACTGAGAGATCATTCTATGATATTCTTCAAGTTGCCCATTTAATCTAGATATTACTCTACCTTTATTCTGCACTTGCTGTTGTAATTCTGTAATTACATATCTATTATGTTCTGCAACTCTTTCAAATTCCAATAAATGGCACAATACATCGTCGGCAACTGTTTCATCAGTGTTGGAACTAATATCAAGTTGAGATATTCTACTAGAGCTACCTAAAAGATGTTGATAAAAATTGTCATTAGCTACGATTTGATTATAGTGGTTTACACAAATAGAAAATTCAGAAAATTGTCGATCTTTGAGCTCCGGGATAAGATCTTGAAACACTCTAAGCTTTCTAGTCACCACTAGTGCATCAGCATTTCTCCAATAGTCTAATTTCGACATACCACAAACATTTAAACTCTGATCACTGTAATAACGAACTAGATCAAGAAAAATGCAAAGAAGATCTTTAGCTTTTGATCCTTGAATGGCCATTGAGGACTGCGACATTGTTCTTAAATGCTATTTAGTAAAAAAAAAAAAGGTTAAAACATTAGTCTTACTCATACTTAAATATATATTCTTGTGACTTTTTATGTCTCATTTACTTTTTTTAAAAAAAGGGATCTTGGAGGGATTATTATGAATTATTAAACTAAAGGCTCTTTATTTCAAAGTAGTATATCGTTTAAGTAAAGTAGAATACTACAAAAATGCAAAAATTTTGGCTCTAGAAAGACCGTCAAGAGCCAATCAAAATTTGCAGATTATTGGTAGATCATTCTAGAATCATTCTAGAACCGTTATCTATTTTTGGTAATATCCCTGACTGTACTACTGTACAATGTCTACCAGTTATAATCCATCTCTCAACACTTATCACATTACTCCTAATTCATTTCTTGTATAACTTCCAAATTGGTGTCCTAGAAGTGGGCACTCTTCTTGCTTCCAGTTTGGTGTCTCTTAAGATATTACTTCAGTTTCTAATCCGTATCTCAAGCCAGGTGTTGTTGCCGTTCGAAGACCTGTATTTCAAGCCACCTGCTGCCGCCATTAGGAGAGCTGTTCGCATAGTTCCAGATATTTACGTCATATACCACCAAATTAGGCTACTGCTCTTTTTATAGTACTCCCTATTGGTATGATATTACAAAAGTCTAGATCTTTAGAACAGGAGTTAAGTACCTCATTTAATTACTATTACAAGCCAGTAACCTGGGACCCACACTTCTGTCATGTTTCGTCATATTTCCATGACTCCCATATAGGTTGTGCGACACATTACTCACTGGCCGACTTTATTTTTATATCATCAGAGCGCTTGCTTCCATGCTTCGGGATTTCTTTTAACCGGTTTTCCTTGTTTCCTTGTGCTAGAGATGTTCCATATTTGGTAAAGCCATTCTCTTACCACAGCCCCTTACTATATTCATTGCTTTTCTCATCACTTCTAAATATATTGCATATAGCCGTTCTTCCAATTAAGTAGGGTGAAGGGCATGGGGTTCATGGGCATGCCCTCTCTTGTGCATGTCCCGGGTATGCCTTTGGGCATGCCTTTAGACCAAAAGGCATGCCCATGTCACATGACTAACTATATATTGAATAATAAAAAATCCTTATGTATACTAGCTAATATGAATAAAATAAACTTAAATAGATAAGCATAATAATCAATGTTGCTTATTTCTATAAAAATTAATATAAATAATCAAAATTAGCAAAGTATACTTTATTCTATACTACCAAGACAAATAAATGTCTAGCACTTTGATAAAACATTTTACGGCAGAGTTTAATAAATTTAAGTACTGTATTGAGTATTTTATTATCTATTTTACAAAGCCTAACTTATTAATATTAAATCTTAAATAGATTTGACTACACAAGTTTGTATCTTCATATGTTCACAAAAATAAGAGAATATACATGACTTAAAACTTATTTAAGCATTACTTATTACTCGTGTTAGGAATACTTATATTTTATTGTTTTTTGATTGGTTGAATATAGCGATGGGGCATGCTCGGGCATAAAGAGCATGCCTTCAGCCCAAGGCATGCCCAGGAGGGCATGCCTAAAAAATTATCTGTGCTCCTCACCCTACAATCAAGATCCCAATGTCGCCTTAGGGTTGTTGGTGCTACCTTGCCAATCGTGGATTCACACACAGCCTTCTGCAGTATTACCTTCTGTGACCCATGTCATATACAGTGCCTGATCTTCTCTATGGCTCGGAACTTCTTCCAAGAATTCTTTATCGGCCAAATATGTACTTCACATAGTCTTATTACCACAGGGTTCCACATTCAAAAGCCCCCGAAGATTACAGAGATAATTAATTAAATTAATTACCACCAGCTGTAATTGAACTGTCGACCTCGTGTGTGGAGGGTTAGGCGTCTAGACCACTAGGCTATGGGACCCTAACCCTTAATTTTATAATTTTTAATTTTAAACTATAGTTTTATAATTTAGAATTAAATTATTAATATCTCTATTTAAATTTATAATTTATTCTAATATATATAAATAATATTTTTATTTATATAGTAGGTTTACTAAAATGTACCTATGGTGTTTAATACTATAGATCTTTATTTTTCAAAAACATACTAAGTAAACTGAATTGGATATTCTAAGTAAAAATGTTTAAAACCTACAAAAACCTTATAAAAACTAAAATTAAAACTTATATCTAATATATATCATAATATATATATATATAAAAAATTTATAAAAATGCACCCTAATTCTAAATTTTATTAAAACAATTATATATAGTGC